AAGTAGATAACAATATATACTCATAAGTAGGTAACAACCTAATATAAGTAGGTAGCAATATATATATATTGCTACCTACTGTCCGTACTAAAAGAAGAAAAAGACAGCAACAACGTGAGTCAGCAAAAGGAACTCCTCCACTACATACCTTTTGGAATCAAGAAAAATTACAGGCTAGTGGAGAAGAATTGTATGATGAACAGTCAGAGAATGAAGATCAGTTGGAGAAAGTTAATGAGGAACAATCGGAGAATGAAGATCAGTTGGAGGAAGTTATTGAGGATGAGGAAGATATTGGGGAATTGTCAGAGGACGAGATTGAAGCTTGTAATTTACTTAAAAAAATTCCAGCCACTCTTGAAAATCTAGCATTAGATATCGAAAAAAAAAATGTAAATAGTGAGATTTGGGTTCGTCTTAATAGCATTCGTTTTTATCTTCAGCTTGTTAAAAATAATCATCAAAAAATGGAGGCAAGTAAAATCATTGCAGATGCAGCAGGAAAAGGGGGTGTATCATGCTAGGTGCATTCGTTCTTGGGCGCATGAATACGTTATGGCATGTCAGATTCCTTATTCTCGCCGTGGGTATCACACTAAAACATGGAGCTTTCTTTGGGATGAAGATATTCTTCTTCAAATAAGATCATATATTCAAGAAAATAAATGGAATATTACACCGTATATGATCATGTCACAAATAAATGAGGTTATTTTACCAGGGCTCAGATTTGCACTGCCTCCAACCATTTCTCTCAATACTGCTAAAAATTATTTAAAAGAGCTTGGGTATGTTTATAAAAGAGTAAAAAAAGGTGTTTATATAGATAGACATGAAAGAGAAGATGTAGTAGCTTATCAGGAGATATTTTTGCAGCGAATAAGTGAACTTGAGTATAGAATGCCTATATTTTTAGGAGATAACATGGAAGTGGGGACTTGGCCAGACAGCAATATACAACCCCTTATTCTTGTTACACATGATGAATGCATCTTTTCTGCTAATGATGGAAGTTAGAGCCTTTGGATTCCTGATGGTGAACAACCTTTACGAAAAAAAGGTCAGGGCCGTTCAATTCATGTTAGCGAATTTTTAACCGATGTTTGTAGTCGACTTATGCTTTCTGATAAAATACAACCATCGGATGAGCTTCCTATAGAAGTCTGTGTTATTACATACCCCGGCAAAAATGGAGATGGATGGTGGAAGTCTGAGAACTTGATTAACCAGATAATCAACCATGCTATTCCCATATTCAAAGCATGTTTTCCATGATACCAAGCCTTGTTCGCATTTGACAATGCAACAAGCCATGCTATTTTTTTACCTGATACACTTATTGCCAACTATATGAACCTTGGTCCTGCTGGAAAACAAAAGAAACTACGTAGCATATCATATTTTCGTGAGGGAATAAAATATGACCAAAATATGATTTTTTTATCAGACTATCATATTCCTGAATTACGTGGAGAAGCTAAAGGATTAAGAGAAGTTCTAAGAGAGAAAGGATTGTGGCCAGAAAAAGGATTAAAATTAAAAGAAGCATGAGAATTAATGAGTTAACAACTGGACTTTTTGGCGCAAAAAGGACAGTTGGAAGAAATTATTGTTGCGGTTGGGTACCAAATTGTGTTTTACTCCAAATTTCATTGTGAGCTCAATTACATTGAGAACTTCTGGGGTGCAGCCAAGAGATATAGCCGGTCACATTGTGATTATTC